AGCTCGGCCTTGGCTGTGCATTCACAGTCTATAAGGGAACCCAGTGTCTCTACCAGAGGTGCAGGAAATTAGCACCTCACTGCACGATCAATCAAGCCGAGTCTCTGGCTATCCTGGAAGCCATTACCTGGATTACAAACAACCACAATACAGTGAATCAACACAACTACCAGATCTTCAGCGACAGTCGAGTCGCCATACACCAAATAGCCAAGTGCAACACAAATCTCCCTATCATAAGGGACACCATCAATAGTATCCGTGCCCTCAGGAACAGAGGCATTAACATAGACTTCCACTGGGTCAAAGGGCACTCTGGGGTTGCGGGTAATGAGAGAGCGGACCTTCTTGCCTCCAAAGCACCAACTTTAGCAACTAATATCTCCTACAATAGAATTAGCATCACCCATCTCAACAATCTGTTGCACGACATAATTCTCAAAACTTGGAAATCCAGATGGGATAATGGCAATACAGGCAGGCTCACCCACCGCTACCTCCCTTCTCCTTCGGACTGTCCTAAAAGGAATTTCAATACCACCTTCCAGCTAACACAACTGTTAACGGGGCATGGTAACTTTAATTCTTACTTGCTGAGGTTTCTAAACAAAACCGACGGCAAATGCACTTGTGACCTCAACGAAGAAGAGGACCCCGAGCACCTAATCTTCCGCTGCCCACTCTATATAACCCAACGAAAGAAACTCAGGGATGCTGTCTACAACAAAGGACAACTATGGCCGTGTGACCTTCGTACGTTTTTTAGCGACAAGGACAACATCAATGCATTCAAAAACTTTGCCACCGAAGTTAATAAACTCAATTAAGCTGTTTTCCTTGTTCGCATATGTTCACCATCTTCGAGTATTTGTATATCCCATTATCTCAGCTGTTAACAAAAAATTGTCGCGCAATTCTGGCTAAATGCCAGCCTTGTACATAGTCTTATTTTACTTATACTGTTTATTTAATATTTTTTGCTTAATGTCTTTTGTCCTCTAATAAACCGGTAATTATTGTCGCGTATATATGCTATATTGTACCACATTCCCTTATTCTGCATTGTAATTGTATTTGTATCTGTATTCTGATCTAATTTAATAAATGCGATGCAAGACCTCATGGGCTTCCCTTCCCACTATCCTATCTCCCTTACTTTAATCTTCAACTACTTACCTTCTCGCTACATTCTTCCTTCCTCTTATTGTCTAAATGGCTATACCTCTGAGTCCAGCCATTTCTTTCTTAACTCTGTGTAAACAATGACTCATCGGTGTCAAATTTCACAGAAAGGCAAGACAAAGGAGGTTAAACTTTGAAGCTTTTTTTTCAAAATTAACGCATTTCTTTCGTTTTTTTCAGTTTTAAGTATTTTTTTAATGTTTAATAAAAGAAAAAACACCGTCCAAGATAATCAATGTAGTGAGTATGGTACAGATCAGTCTGACCTCAATATACTATATAGGCTAAATAAACAATTATATAGCCGAGAGTAAAGCATTTCAACACCTGGCTCGTACGTAGATTATAAAAATATTGTTATATCGAAGATTAAGTACTAAAGGGTAAAAAATAGCTAAATTCGAGATGAAACAGTCAACATTTATATTACTTATCTAATTGCTAAAATTTCAAATCAAGGGGCAAACAAAACAAACTAAATTTAGATGAGAAAAATAGATTCTAGAGTTACAGTCCTACCCAGCACGTGATACAGACTTCGATGTTTTGACTTAAAGTAAAATGGCGGTCGATAGTAGCCATCGTTGCTACCAAGTGCGCTGTATCGAAGGTAACAGCCACTCTATGTAGTATATTTTAGCTCGTCGTGTTTTAACAAAGGGCTATATAAAGCTATATTTAGCCATATAATTCCATAGGGCTATATTTAGCCATATAAAGCTTCATCATATTTCTACCCTTTAGATCCAGTTTTACATAGACTTTCCTTCAGAGAAGCATCGTTCCTTTACAGTGCGTCCAATATTAACATTGTATTTCTGATTTGCATTTTAACTATATTTAAAGCATTTAATTTTAAACTAATTTTAATATAAATATTTAAAATTAACTTAAACTACACTTTACGCTAAGAGCGGAGAGCTCTGATGAATGTAATTTAGAACCTTCTTTGGAAAACTGCTTCCGTTGTGCAGACTAAGAAATGTTGCAAGAACTGAACTTCTGTTCTTGAGTTATTGTAAAAAGATGTATCAACGCTTTACTCGCAACATTGTTATATAGGCCTATATTTAGCACAGACAATGAAAAGGATGAGCCAAAAAAGAGTCGAAATTTAAAGTTATAAAATTTTCCACTCGTATTAAATTACAAAACGAAATAAAAATCCAGCAACGAACTGTGTAACTTTTCCGGCGAGACTTCAAATTTGTGTGTGGCGCCATCTGTTATGCTATTTTATTTATAAATTTTTTTAGTATTAATTATTATAAAATAGCTAAACGCCAACCAATTGCCGAAATTCTATCGGACTACTTTAAGGCTGATTATTAAATGAATTACGTAACCAATTTGACACCAGAGGTAAGCGTTAGGCGCCATCTCTTATTAACATTAATAATTATAAATTAATTAATTAATTTAAATAATTTAGAACCGCTGGGAGAAAAAATCGTCCCAAAGCGAAACTCGAATCCACAACTCCTGTTTATCGTGCAGATGTGTTGCCAGTTACGCTATCCGGACATCCAGTTTGATCTCCTCTTCCAGCGTATAGAAGCTAAAGTTATAATCATCGACGGTTATTTTATATATCGGGTTTACAGATGTTTGTATATTATGAAATAGCAAAACGCTTTATTTTGAAGGTAGAGATGAGTTTTATAAGATAATACAAATGCTAATAACAAGTGAAAAACGTCAATAATTCTGACCTTACTCGAAATATGAGACACGAGTTTCCTTTGACTCATTGACCTTTAACTCCAAAAATATATCACCAATTTCTAATACACAAACCTCCCTGCAAATTTTCAAATACACAAGAGTTATAAACAGAATACACAAGAGTTATAAACAGAATACACAAGAGTTATAAACAGAATACACAAGAGTTATAAACATTTAACAACTGTTAGTGTTAGTGTGTTTGGGCGCACACAAAATAGTGAGCGCCCAAATACACTAAGACAGATACATACAGAATAAACCTTCAACTGTTTTCTGACGTTTCAAGATCCTCCGAGTCTAAAAATATAAAAAGGCTTGAAGACGGGAGTCGTTTTTTGGCCAATCTCCATGCTTACTGTTTGTTACATATAACATCCCGATAAGTAAATATTACAAAATTCGCTTAATCTAATCTAAAATTATATATCAATTCTAAGTTTACACTACATTATATTTATACTCGACATAGTAAAATAGAAAGAACCTAAATTTTCTTCTAATTTTAATTAATATTTCTACTTACTTATAACCTTTTTAAATGCTTGAAGTGCTTTATCATCCCATGGAAATTCCTCTTCTTTTTCTTCCGGAAATATCGAATCTTTAATCTCCATTGCGCTTATAAAACTCTGTAAAAATTATATAATTTCAATTGAAAATGTTCGAACGTTTATGATTAATTTTTAAAATGTTTTACGAGAACAAAAATATACTCTATCTTCATTTTTAAAGTTTACTCAGATTAGAAAAGAACTTGCATTTTTATTGCAAGTGTCAAACTGGTTTTCTTATTATAAACGCATTTTCTAAATTAAATGAACTCAATATTACAATTTTCTTGTTAATTATCTACTGGAATTTAATCGTTTCAATGTCACAATTACTTGTTTGCCAAAATTCTAATCATTAGCTTTTCATAAATAATTATAATCGGCTTTATTAAGCTCAATTGAATAATCTATCGTTTTTAGCTTTTAATGTTGTTTTATTTTTCATAGTCTATATCGAAACAGAGAGCAAAACCGGACTGAAACAGGGAACTCTGTCTCCCGTTCTCTTAATAATTGGAGTAACCGGTTTTAGTTAAACTGTTGCGCAGTACTCCAATTGGAGTAAGTGTCAATTTTTTTCGTAATTAACTACTTGGTGGCGATTTAAGCACTGATTGGCATTTACCTACATAGACTAAGTCTGTTTCAACGAATAAGATATTTGTTACCACTCCCTATTTTTAAATTTACCCACAAAACTCCTCCTTTCCATGTTAAGTCTATTGGAGACCCTTCTTTCGTTCATTAGACAATAAAATTCTTGTTTGCACATCTGTTGCGCTCTAATTGGTATATTATAGTTAAACGACTATCCTTTAACGAATAAGCATAGACTCAGGTTTCTGGGGTGTGAACTTTCTGGGAAAAAGTTATTTTTATCGGAGCTACATTTTTAACTACAAACATAAACAAACAATTATAAATCATTATTCTCGTCTATTTTTAGCTTAAATTTAGTAAATTTTTATAAACATTTATCCTATTTAACAAATAAGCATGTTTTTTTAAACTATTCAATTATAAATCTTTTAAAAATCAAAGTACTTCCGGTTATCATGTAACTTTCGTAATACGTAAAAAATACACGTATAATCGTTAATATATTAAAGTAATAATCGCTTGATATATACCACTGTTAGTACAATAGTGTAAATAACGTAAATAGAATAAAATATACATCATCAATACTAAAAAGTGTATTGACCTAAATTTAGAATAACCACCCCCCCTTACACGCCGATCGGCGTTATAATCTGTAGGTCGTATTATTTCTCTACATCGGTTTAGAAAGCTGCAGTTTTTTTTATATGTGTGCATATAGACCTATCTATCTAAGATATATAACAGATTAATCGGATGTTTATTAAAAAATTTTTTATTTTTATTTTTTGAATTCTCGAATTTTATAAATTTTTTAAAATGTACATAATATTTTGAAGTTAACAGTCGTAAAGTGTGATATGTGAATGATAAAAGGCAAAAAACAGATCAGATCTACAACAATTTTTAAGTGAAATATTGCGAATTTAAAAATTACTATAAAAACCAGAAAATGTCACGCAACAGTGGTGTTGTTTCAGAATATCGCGATGCACAGCTGACTGGTCTTTTAACATCGCTGTAGAAAATGTTGTCAGAATGGAACAAAAGATAAACAATAAACAGGTAAATAACTCAGGAGACAAACTGCCACTACTAGAATATGCGGATGAGTTTTTCATAATTAAAGAATCTCAAGGAAAGATGACGAGATTACCGTCAAAATTAGCAACAGCTGACAAGAGCATGGTTCTGATCATCAATGAAGAGAAGACTGAATGACTGGTTATTTCTAAAGAGGAAGAATCCCACAAAGAACATCTAACCGTAGACAATATGAATATATATATATTTTTTAATTTCCTGCTTACTTCGTTGGATGAGAGATTTCTTATCCTATTGTTTTACTAACAAAAGCAATTATTTGACTTATTATTCTACAATTTCTGTAAAAATATATTATTAATATATAACTAATTTCAATATATTACTGTAAAATAACTTTTTATTTATAATAATATGTCAGTGATAATTATATTTAAATATTTTCAAAATTTCAAATAAAAATATATAATTTTTAATACTTAAATTTTTTTTAATATTTGACTTATAATACTAAACTTTTCTTTAAAATATTTATAAAATAAAAAAACCAAATGATAACTTTCAAGATCTAAAACGAGTTTCCAAGGTTGAGTATAACAGAAACTTTACACGCAACTGTAAAGTTTCAGATGCTTATTATAAAATTTTATATTGAAAATATTATTTCATTAAACAAGCAGTATAAAACAATAAAGAAATTTACATCAAACTCTAAAGAAATACATTAATTTCAAGCCTGTGTATTGTTGTAGTAGTATACACGTCTGAACATTTCCCCCAATTTACAGATTTTCTTTAAAGAAATTTATCCTTAAATTTTAATTACAGAATAAAAAAGGAAACAAACTTAGTAAAATTGTTAATTTTATTAATTATTTTCATAAAATATTAATTAAATTGATCATTAAGTAAACCATTTAACGCAATCGATTATTGATTGAACACCTTTATTTCGGTATTAATAACTTTTCTAAATAACATTAAGAATAACTCATATAAAAGTTTTTTTTATAAGGATTATATGATTTTAGGACCACAGTATTTACATTACAAACAAAGAGAACTCTACTTACCTGTGTTTCCAAGTATCTTCTGTGAAACGTAAGAGGTTTTCTAAATGTCATGGATGATAACACATGGCTGTTTTTTATTTGACGTCATAATCGCTTTCAATGCCACGTCTAATTGCTTGCAAAAATATTCACCATTTCCTAAATTTTATAAATATAATACATTAATCATTTTACAATACATTGGAACCTTGCTTAACGAGCAATTCTCAAAACGAGTAATTTGCATCAATTAACCTTGACATGTACTGTAGATAAATGTTTTAATTGCATTTATATTTCCTAAAATATTATATTTCTTTACAACTACACAATATAATTAATTATTTTATAACACAGCTTTTAAATATATACATGAATATAAATCTAATCAGTGTTATTATTTAATCACTCACTATTATTTTATTTAGAAAACAGTATAAGATCGAAAAATGTTACGTTAAATAAAGCAGAAATACAATACTTTTTGCATGTATTTTGTTAAAGTTGCATACACGTTGCTGATCTTTCGAGTTTTTTCCAAAGAAATTAATTTTGCTATACTTTTTATATATTTATTATATTATAATGTTTAATTTTTAAAATAATAGTTGCTTGATAAGTATAAATTTTCCATGTTTTCTTTACCTAAAAACGACCCAGTTTCTCATTAAAAGTCCTGTTGGATATCAGAACTTTTAATAAGGTTTTATTAGCTCCGTTATCTTTATTATGATCTTTTCTAATAATTTTTAATAATTAATTTTGTATAATACTTAACCTTGGAAACTAGTTTTGTATGCCTGGATTACCTGGAAAAATATCAATACATTGCTTTCCTCTATAGATTTTTTTTTGAAAGTTTAGATATTAATAGGTTTCACATTACTTTATATACTGTATATATAATACAGTATATGAGAATAACAATTGAATATAAAATATGATAAATTGTAATAGGACTTTAAGTTGTTACACACGTTTAGAGTTCGAATATCGAGACATTCTAACTCTAAAACTTTATAAATATAATCCGAAAATATCATCAAAATTTTTTAATATATTAGTATATTGCTCAACATAGAAAAATGAGAGGAAAGTGGATAGGGAGGGAAAAGCAGCGAACAGGGGAAAAAGAAGAAAGAAAAAATTATTGATTAGAATGCACAAATTTGTCAATTGTAATATAAATTATGTATTCCCACTCAATATTTAAACCTAAATACATTAAAATAGTCCTCCGAGTTAGAAAGTTTCTTCTAAACATAAATTTAATGCACTAATATTGAAACTTCGGACATTCATATTCCTTTATTGTTAACAAAAAGTTGACAAACGAGAATGTCATACAGATCATCGAAAGGAGGCTTTGTAGAAGTTACAATATTTTATCCATAAATTTGCTTTGTGTCTCAAATAATAATTAATTAAGAGCTAACTGTAGATTAAGTTTAGAAATCTATAAACTTGTGTATAAAATAGAATAAATGTATAATTGTCTGTCTATTATGTATAGACTTCTCAACCATTTATTGATACCTCACAGAATTTTCTAAAAGAAATTGCAAACTTTTATTATTTAATAAGTAGAAAGCAGATGTTTACATAACTTACGCCCTTTTTAGAACAGAACTTTACTACAAATGTCATGGCAAGGTTCTGTTTTCTTCTAAGTGTATAAAGTGTCTATTTTCTACTTATTAAACAGACCCTTTATACAACTGTGTCTTTTAATCTCAAACGAGAGGTTTTCGAAAGCAACAGTAGTAATGTAGTAGTAAGTAGATTGGCTTCTTACTTGAAAGTGGTGTCGGTTTAGATGTTAAAAATAGGAAAAACGTAGGGAAATTCTGTGTGACTAGTAATTAGTGAAGAACGAACACGCGATCAACTACAACTCTTTTGTGATTTTATCTTTTTTGGCCACTTTTCAGCAGTAACGTAGTTGTACAAGTGCCAATACAAATAATTGCTTACTACTTGAAATAATTTATTGCTGGTTTATATGTTTTTAATGTTTTCAAAATACAAACATGGTCTCACCCAAATTTTTACGTTTATCTGCTATGAGCACAATTAAACCTTGAGAAATGCAAAAAAAAAAAAAAATATTCGGGATATTTTTGCAAGTTGTATATTTTATTAAATGTTAGTAAGATTTCTTTACATTTTTTTTGCCTTGCTTTATCGTGATGTTTTTATTTTGTATATTTATTGCAGTAAAAGAAATGTCAACTAAATAAAGATGGAATCCCGCCAAGTGTTGAAATAGAAACACACGTCGTGTTAGTGAATCAAAAAAATACAGTAAAAGAGTTAAAATTTTGTTTTGTAAACGAAGAAAATAAACCATATTTAATGTTTCCTATCAAAATAACGTTTACTTAATTGAAATTCAAACTCCACAAACAACAAGGAATATTAAAGAAAACCGGTTTATTATAATATTTACTTTAAAAAACTAGGAAAACTCTCTGCTTTTCCTGTAGGCAACTAACTTCCTCAGAGAAGTGACATTTACAGAAATCACTCCTTTTCTTTTCTGATGCAAGTAAAAATTCCTTTTATCAGTAAAGTACTGATACCATCGAACATCAAAACCGGAAATTGTTGCTTATCTCAGGGAATTTTTCCCGAATATCTGCTTTTGAAGTAAGTCATCAGGCTACTTTAGTTTACACTTTATGATGTCTTATATATATGTTACCGCTAAAGCTCGAAACTCATTAATCTGCAGATTACCTAGCTAATCTGCAGATTAACTAGCGTGATCCGTTAAAGTTGTGAAAATTGTTCCATTTCTCAAATTACCTACATAATATGCAGAGTATCTAGGTAATCCGCACATTACCTACTAGGCACTCGGTAAAGTGAAAATAAGATCTTTGCCACAAATAAATGTACCACAAATAGGTGTGCTTGTCGCAGAAACCAATTGCTATGAAATTCAAAGTGTCACCAATCTTTAGACT